TCTCTTCTCTTCTCTTCTCTTCTCTTCTCTTCTCTTCTCTTCTCTTCTCTTCTCTTCTCTTCTCTTCTCTTCTCTTCTCTTCTCTTCTCTCTCTGCACCGTCAGCCCACAAAACATAAAGTGTTTTCTCCTCCTGCTTGCTGCCAGCCCTGTTAGAGAAACACCTGATGTGTTTGGCTCTGCAGGATCAGCCCAGATCAGATCAGGGGAAGGTGAAACCACCTCTGCCTCCTTCACAGCCAAATTCCCACCTCCTTGAAGGATCAGCTGCCTCCACACAACAGAAGCCAAAAAAAGCACACCTCCAAAGAAATATTCCCAAAACCAAAGTCATGTTTCACAGCTGGCTTTTACATCCCTAGTCCTCCATCWCAGGGAGTTTTTGTCAGTAAAAAGGGCTAGGATAAACCCTTTATCCTTCTTATTAATGTTATGCCAGCTCAGGCTGTCCTTTTCCTGGAGTTTGGGAGACACCGTGCCTGGGATCCCCCACCTTCCTCACAGCACTGAGTCCCCCACCAGCACAAGCCCTTTTGAGAGGGGAAACACCAGAGAAAGTTCTTTCCCCCAGGCACATCAAACATCAGTGCTGGGGSCTCTGAGCAGACCCCAGGCTGAAGCTCTGCTCCCATGGCTGCTGTTTCCATCCTCCCCTAAACCCAACTCTCCCGTCAGTGCCACCGGCTGCTTCCAATCTTCTCACCAAAAGAAGCAGAGAGTTTTTAGCTCTGTGCTATAAATTTCATCTTTCCCAACACCAGCATCATCTGCTAAGCCAAAAGCTTTAGACAGGATTCCTGAACACTAGGCTAAGAGTCCAACCAGCACAGGGCATATCTCGCCCGTGTCAGCAGACACCTCCTGTATTTTTAGTSCTGTCAGAAACAAACCACTCCTCGATATTCCAGAGCAGGGAGGAAAAGTCCTCTGGAAGTGGTGGTGAAGCTAATATTTTAAAAGACCCTTCCGAGAACTTGCCAGCCTCCTGGGGGAGCTTGTCAACATCTCCCACGTTAAATGAAAGCCACTTTAAAATCCACAGGGGTTTCAAAGGAAAGCTGGAACATATCAAAGCTKCTGGGATGGCAAGCTTCATAACGTGCACAATACATCAACACTTAGAGGCAGCAAATCCTCCCCAGCCTCAGGGGAGCTCACAGCCCCCCAGAGTAAGCCCTTGCCTAATGTATCTCTCAAATGAACTGCTAATCTCCTCTCTAAACTTGACAGCTGTCCTGCATGCACTCAAACCCCTCTGTGCTCAAATCCRTCTATCATTCTTGTTAAGTCACTTGTTAGATCATTTTTCCTTCAGTATGAAGAAAGAAATCTTTCCTCCAACCCCAAACAAAGGCCTCACTCACCTGCAGCTGGCATGTCCATAGATTTCATACATATATCTCTGTGTTTGTGTGTGTGTGTGTGAATTCTCAGGAGAAATCTTGTCCTTTACAGATTCCTGTGGCCAGTGGGAACTCCCACACCAGTCACCCCAAGCAGATTTCTCACTCCCAGCAGATCTGGTGGCTCCCTGTGCTCAGATCAGCCTGAATCTCTGATACAGTCCCTCACTGCTCAGAGAGAGCAGAAAAGTTTCCCCTTGTCTGGGCAGAGTTTGGCCCCTGGTGTCGAGTTCCTGGCGCCAGCAGTATTTGTCAAAGGGTACCAAAGGGTAGTTTGGAACAGCCAAAATAATCCCAACTTCCAGCTGAGGACAGAGCAGCAGTTTTTCATGCTGTTCTCAGTGTTTCAAATGAAGAACATTTCAAACCACACCAAAACCCCAATCCTTCCTAGAAGCAGCTGCTTGTCCACTAGCTCCTCTTGACCACATATTTTGTTTACTGCTTGAAGCTGATGAAGAGTTTCACAAAGAGATTGTTTTGTTCCAATGTCAGCAGTGGGATTCCCTACTCTTGCCCCAGCACTGTGACTGGATGACCCCAATGTGCTGGCATGGTGCAAGTCTGATGATGCCTAACAGCCCTGCAGGGACCTGATGTGGAGCTGTCAAGTGTTTGCTCAACACCTGGAAAGTGTTTTGCCCTGGCCACRGGCAAAAGTCTGGACAAAAAAATCAACCAATGAAAGAACTTCTGKAACATACCTCAAACACTGGGATTGCAAAGGCACATGAGCTCTGCTGAGCTCTTGGTCAAACAGAAGGTGCTGTTACAGCAGTGCTGGTGACAGGTGCCTATCCTTCACAATATTTTCCTAGTGAGGATATTTTTTATGCTGCTCCATGTTCTTCATCACCCYCTGCACTGGCAGTGAGGGGAGCAGGAGCATTTTCCTCTCTGCACTGATACAGCAGCGACATGAAATTATTCACTCTGCCTCTTAAAACGTCTACAGAAGTTGAGATACAACAATTGCTCCAGGAAGTGATGCCTCAGCCCCTCTGACTGATCRCCCTGTGCCCTGTCACCCATCTGTTACCTCTGCCATTCCCTGCTGGCTCCAGTGCAACCCACAAACTCTCCCTCCTTGTGCAAATCGAGCCCTGGAACGCTTCACTGAAGTGACAAAAAATCTGTCAGATAAAAGCATCTCAGAGACAAGTTCTGGGCTGTGCCTGACACCCCGTAACTGTGAAATGTCCCTGTGGTCACCGGGTGCAGAACCGTGTCCCACCATGAGCACACTCGGGAACTTTTCCTTTGCAAAAGATTTCAGTACTGAAATGAGTCCTATTTTTCCAGCCAGAGAATTCATGCTCTGAAACACTGCTTCCAGGCAGCTCTACTCCCTGCAGCCATGCTCTTTGTTCCCCGGTCCTTGATACACCCACTTGCCAGGCACTTCAAGTGGCRGGAGAGGCGTACCCATCCCCGGGAGCCCCTGGGGAGGAATTCCTGATACCTGAGCTAATGAAACCTGCCGATTTCACATGCAAACAAAACACAYGGAAAGCGGCTTTACCTGCCGGAGGAGCATCTGTTAGACTGACAAATCAGGGCCGTGCACAGATTTACTTCTGGCAAAACTCCACCCACCCCGCTCAGCCCAGCAGCTCTCACCAGGGGCTGGAAATTAATAGGATCTTTGCATTGTCAACTCCTCTTACCCAAATGGAAGAGCACACGTGTGATGCTTCCCAAAGGAGGATCTGGTTTCTGGGTTGCCTGACTGGAACCATCAGAGGCAGCAAAGGGGATTTGCATCTCCCCACCATGGTCCCTKGTCCTGCAGAATGCAGCTGCTCTGCAAGACCCGACCAGAGGGGTGAGGGCTGGGTCACCAAAACCTGGACCCATCGGGCCATGGCTGCCTGTCCTGCTGCCCAGGGTGTCTCTGCATTCACCCACTGTCCCCAGGGCACTCACTGGCACAGCACAGGTCAGGCCCGTCCCCTTTTAGGGTTGAATGTTCCAGACTGGTTCCCCACACCCGAGCAGTGCTCCAGTGAGTGTGTGTACCTTCACTCCAGTGAAGGCACGTACCTCACCTCAGACCTCATCCAAACCTCTTATAATTTAATTAATTAAACCCCACTTACTGAGAGGGGTGCAAAGAAGAAATCACCTCTGTCCCACACAACTTTCTGGCACCTGCTGCCCTCCATGAGCTCACGAGGCTCCAATTTCTTCCCACTTTTACAGCWCTAAACTTGTTCTGTCCCCGCGTCCCTCGGCTGCAGGTGGAGACCCCTCCCTGCCAATGCTGGGACTCTCGGAGTGGAACCGCTCCCATCCGGAGGGCTTGTGCCTTGTCGGGTCCGGGTCACACGGGCCATTCCCGGATCTTCTGCGGGTTCGCTCCCGTTCCCGATCCCACTCCCAGTCTCGGTCTCGGTCCCTATCCTGGTCTTGGTCCTGGTCCCGATCCCGATCCCAATCCCGGTCCTTGTCCTTGTCCCGATCCCGATCCCTGTCCCCTTGTCTGTCCCATTCTCTGTCCCGATCCCTGTCCTGGTCCCATTCCCTGTCCCGATCCCCTGTCCCATTCCGTGCCCCATTCCCATTCCCGGTCCCATTCCCGATCCCGTTCCCTGTCCCATTCCCGGTCCCATTCCCGATCCCATTCCCTGTCCCATTCCCCGTCCCATTCCCGGTCCCGATCCCATTCCCATTCCCATTCCCATTCCCATTCCCATTCCCGTTCCCATTCCCTGTCCCGATCCCATTCCCTGTCCCATTCCCGGTCCCATTCCCTGTCCCATTCCCTATCCCGATCCCATTCCCATTCCCGATCCCCTGTCCCATTCCCTGTCCCGATCCCTCTCCCGGTCCCGATTTCCTGATCCCATTCCCATTTCCGATCCCATTCCCATTCCCGATCTCCTGATCCCATTCCCATTCCCATTTCCGATCCCATTCCCATTCCCGATCCCATTCCCGATTCCATTCCCTGTTCCAGTCCCGATCCCCGATCCCATTCCCGATCCCATTCCCATTCCCTGTCCCGATCCCATTCCCGATCCCATTCCCATTCCCATGCCCATTCCCATTCCCATTCCCTGTCCCATTCCCATTCCCTGTCCCGATCCCATTCCCATTCCCATTCCCATTCCCATTCCCATTCCCATTCCCTGTCCCGATCCCATTCCCATTCCCATTCCCATTCCCATTCCCATTCCCATTCCCATTCCCATTCCCATTCCATTCCCATTCCCATTCCCATTCCCTATCCCGATCCCATTCCCGATTCCATTCCCATTCCCGATCCCATTCCCGATCCCATTCCCATTCCCGATCCCCAATCCCATTCCCGATCCCCAATCCCATTCCCTGTCCCTATCCCTGTCCCGATCCCATTCCCATGCCCATTCCCCATTCCCATTCCCATTCCCATTCCCATTCCCTGTCCCCACTCCCCGCTGCCGCCGCACCTGCGGGACCGGAGCGCGCCCCGACCGCGGCGGAGCCACGCCCCCCGCCGCCTTTCAGCCAATCAGCGCGGGGCGCTCTGTCCGGCAGCCAATGGCAGCGCGGCGGCCGCGCCCCCGCCCCCTATTTGAGGCGCTCCGCGGGGCCGCGCGCTCGCAGAGGCGGCGGGAGCGGAGCGGAGCGGGAGCGGCCCCGGAGCGGAGCGGAGCGGACGGTGCGCCCGGCGCTGCCCCGCACCGCGCTCGACCCAGGGGCCGCTCCCATGGAGGCGTTCCCGGGCACCAAGCTGGAGCAGCACCGGCACCTCCCGCCCGTGGAGTGCCTGCCGGGCGCCCGCTACGGCGGCCGGAGCCACAGCGCCTGCGGGAACGTCTTCAACTCCTGGAACGACTACCTGGGGCTGGCCACGCTCATCACCAAAGCCGTGCGGCCGGGCAAGGGCTTCGGCGCCGAGCCCCCCTCGGTGGTGGTAGCGGCCGCCGTGCCGCCGGCCGAGGAGGAGGAGGAAGAGGAGGAGGAGGAGGAAGAGGCGGCGGGGCCATACTTCGAGGGCGCGCTGGACTTGCACGACCTGGACCTGTGCGGGCATCACCATCACGGCGAGGGGCTGCTGGAGGAGCGCTTCGCCGAATTCAGCCCCTTCCCCGGGCGCGGCGGCCCCGCCGCCGTGGTGTTCGACTGCTCGGGGGAGCACCCGGGCCGGGAGGGCTCAGCCCACGCCTGGGGCGGTGTGGTGGTGGCGGGGCGGCTGCCGGCGCACCCGCGGGCCGCCTCCCGCCTGCTCAAGCCCGAGCTGCAGGTCTGCGTCTTCTGCCGGAACAACAAGGAGGCGGTGGCCCTCTACACCACGCACATCCTCAAGGGACCCGACGGCCGCGTCCTGTGCCCGGTGCTGCGGCGCTACACCTGCCCCCTCTGCGGCGCCAGCGGCGACAATGCCCACACCATCAAGTACTGTCCCCTCTCCAAAGTGCCGGCGGCCCGGCAGCTCCGGCACGCCCGGACCGCCCTGGGCAGGAAGGGCCGCTAGCGGCCGGSACCCCCGGGCCCCGGGGCGGCCCCGTTCCCCATCACGCTGACACTGCCCCGGCCCCGGGGCGGCCGCTGCGCGCTGGACCGCGCGGAGCCCGGCGCCGGGCCCGGGGACTGCGCGGCGGAGATGCGCTGTGTTTGTTTATTGTAAGAAAAAATATATCTATATGTGATTTTTACGGAGACGGCGAGATCTGACTGGGTGGGTGTGCGCGGGGGGGTTCGAGGGTTGAACGCACGGCCGGGGAGGTGGCGGGGGTCCCGGGGTGCCCGCGGCGGGGCAGCACCGCTTTCTGCTCTGCCCGTCCCGAGCGCTCCGTGCCGGCGGGGCATCGCGCGGGGAGCTGTTCTTAATTGCCGGTTAATAGCAGGGTATTTAATTAGGGTACAACACTCCGCCTTTCAGCTCTTAAACATCCGAGCAATTTCCTTTGCCGGTCCTAAAACCGGTAAGCAAATCGCGATGAAACCTGCCCTCGGTATTTTACACCTGCTTCCCAAAATCGCAGCGTCCGAGCTGGTGCGGTGCCCCGCCGTCAGCGCTCCTCTCGTGGGCACCGATGGCGCTGGTCCCCGTGTCGAAAACTCAGCCTCAGGGAAGGTCTGAGAGGAGAAAACATCCTAGTGCATGTTTGAAAACGTGACGACTCTGGGCCAGGGTGCAAACTGAGCCCGTTCTGCTGACAGAAAGGCAGTAAGATGGCAATAGAGCGAGCTGTGAACAGCTGTGTTTGTGGTGGAGAATGGGGGAAACTCGATGGAAACAGACCTGGACAAAGCAGAAAGCTGGGAGCGTAGGAGAATGGGAGAAAGGGACGTTGTTTATTTTCAAGAGTTGAGAGAATGTGGCTTTAACTCTTTGCAAGTGGAAGAGCTCTACCCATGTGGGTTGRCAAATATCCTTAACACTACACAGACTGTACAAAGCATAGGAATTATGCTGCCAGGGCTATATCCTTTCTAATCCCCAAGGAAAAAAGAAATTGAAGAAATTGCTTTTTTTCTTTGCGTTGGTTGGGTTTTCTTTTTCTTTTTTTTTTTTTTTTTCTTCTTCTTCGTTACCCAGAGGTAGGATAAGGAGCAGCAGCAGTTTGTTTAAGTTCTCTGGAGCAGAAAGAGGGGTACTGGAGTTTCCAGTGCAAAGGGTCACACTGCAGATGGCTTTACCAACACCAGGGATGTGGAGGGGTCTCAGCCCACAAGGGTTGCCCTGACAAAGGCAGGGAGTTGAAGAGAGCCTTGTGGAGGAACTGCTGGGACATCACCGGGATGATGAGAAAGGAGATGGGTCCTGACAGGAAAAGGGAACTAGGGAAGTGAGAGGTAATCCACACTTGTGTGGTTTCCTTTTGTAAAGCTGCTCAGTGGGGTGGGAGATGGGGTCAGGAGAGCAGGACAGTCAAGAATAGAGTCAAAACATGTGTGGGATGGGCTGGGGGATGAGGATCCAGGGTTCATTATCCATCACTGCTGTTGACTCGCAGCCACAGCAATTAGGAGGGAGAAACTGATTTTGTGTGGAAGTGTTCCCTTAAATCTCCATCAGATGGCTCCAAAGATGGTGTCAGGTCTAATTACCAAATGCAGTGGGGCTTGAATTAAATAACAGTCAGTGGCTGCAGCTACCCTTGTGCCAACCTCCCTCTCCTTGTGCTCAATATGTTTCTTATTGTCTCTTGCTCTAGGGGGAGGGCACCATGGGCTCTTCTAAGCTGTTAGAAGTTAGATATGTTTGGTTTTGTGATTCCTGGTCCACAWAGGTTTAATCTGTGTCCCCCACACATTCGAATCAAGCTCAAGTGTGATGCTGTGGGAAGAGTTTCCTTCTGTATTTTGTTACCTCCTTGTGGGAAGTTCCAAGATCCGTTATATACATTTTAATGCAGTTGACTGTTACTGGACGCAAAAGCAAGAAAGATCAAAGACAATCTGTCTCAGGGTGTTTTCTGAGGGTTAACTGGCTGGGATGGATTGGAGGTGTTTGCCAAGTTCCTGCCCCACCTCTCTGGCCTTTCCATTAAGCTGCTGTGCAGTACCAGCCCTATTGCAACGCCTGGAAATKGCTCAGGATAACAGCAGATCCTGTGTCTGGATGGCACTGGCCTTCTGCAGAGCTTGTGTGAGAGGAAAATTCATATCCACAGCCTGTGCTGCTGCCTGTTGCTCCTGCTGCTGCTCTCTCCTACACCTGTACTTGCAGCCTCGCCCCAGAAAGGCCAAGAGCTGCCTGTCATCGCTGCTGCCCAGCATTAGGCATCTCATCAAAGGCTTGGCAGGTAAAGTGGAAGAGTAACAGCTTCAAGACCAGTTGGGGGTGGGGGAGATTTAAAAAAAAACAAAACAAAACAAAACAAACCAAAACCCGGATTATTGCAGAAAGATGACACGATTCAGCAAAAGACAGTCTGACAGCACGGCTCTTCAGTTACTTTATGTAATAATTCAACAGGACAATTTGCCCTTTAAAGATTTACAAGTGTGAGTCTAACAAAGACTAGACCTTTAAGGATATTTTGATTGGGGTTTTTTTAAATAAGCTTCTGTGATTTCTGGTGCACCAGCACGCTCCTTGTGGCACTGAGTGAGCAGAAATATGTTTGTTCTTGGTCATTCTGTAAAGRTTATTACAACAGATAGTGTTTGTGTTGCTACTTTGATTCCTTAAATACAGGAAACCATTTGCATTAGTAATTTAAATTCTAGGAACAGCAAAAAGCTTAATCTGAAAACAAYCCAGGTTAGAACTGTTTTATTCTCCACAGAAGAGGTCTATGAAAAGTGAGATACTATTTTCACTCTTCTACAGGCATCTGCAAATCAAAATATTATGGTCACATGTTTAAGCTAAACTCCATATCCTCCAAGAATTGATTTATTACAAGGAAATATTCCTGTGCATGTAAGTGATGGAGTCTTTTCTATAGGGGTATTCAGGCTAAAGGAGTTAACACTATATGGGAYAATCATCCTCACTTGGCACTAGTCTTGGCAAAAAGCAAGGTGCTTCTAACTAGAAACCACTTTCAGATGTAYAGATAATGTGATTCAGCTGAAGTCAGGTAAGTCTGTGCCCATCTTTAGTGGAAATTCTATTTGGGCAGGTTGCTCTCAGTCTGCTGGTAGATGCCATAGACCAAACCAAAGTGGCTA